TATGACTTCATTTTCTCCTTCTATTGATTAACTATGTAAACAGAAAAATTCTCATTAGTTTATCCCTCCAGGGATCAGGCAATTTAAATTTTCAGGTGGCCAGATTTTCACTATTGCAAAACATCTACCCCCTCAGGAATAATATAGATTTTTTTAAATTAAAAAAATTTTTTTTTACTATTGTAGTCATGATGGCTAGCCCTGGATTACTCATAAGAACATAAGAATGCCTCCTTGGCTTAGATCCATGGTACCTCCAGCCTATGATTCCTCCTCCTACAATGGCACTAAAAGGACATTTTTGGGAGGACAAATTATCTCTTTATAGTATACCTTAGAAGGTAAAAACTATACCTCCAACCACCACTATTTTCTCTTAATAACTCACCATGAAAATAGCATTCCTAAATGTATATAAAAGTTGAAGGCATGCTTGCATGTGGAGGGGGGCTTGAAGGCAATATGCCTTCAAGCCCACGTACATATACATATAAATAAATTATATATATATATATATATACATATATGTATATATATATATATATGCATATATATATATATATATGCATATATATATATTCAACCATATTACCCTGTAGAGTAGTAACAAGTATTTGCTTTCAAACAACTATTTTCAAGAATCAAGACATGCCTTCTTTTTACTGTTTTAAGATTTGATTGGAGAGACAATGAGGCATAATGTATTGACTGTATTGGCCTTGGAGATAGAAAATCTGCGTTCCAGTACTGTCTCTGACAAATACCAGTTCTCTAAATTGCTCAGATATATTAGAGGATGGCAATTCCACACTGGGATTTCCATATATCCATGAAATTAGAGAGTCAATAGACATAGTGGATAAGGAGGTAGGTGGCCTTGGAGTCAGGAATACCTGGGTTCATATTCCATCTCTGATATATACTAGATATGTCCCTGGCAAGTCACATAACCTTTCATTGCTCCCAGACAATTCCTTAAGACCATGAGTTATAGAGAAGGTACCAACCCGCATTGATAGAAGGAGTTCTTCAGGAGGAGCTCCCTTAACCTATAAAATTAAAGGATTGGTCCAATCAAGGAAATTAAATTATAGGTCTAAGCAATGGGAAAAAAAACGATTAGTGAACAAAACTGTATCTACCTTAATTTATGCTTTTTTTTTTGGACACTATCAGCATTAAGTGACTTGCTTGCCAAGGGTTACACAATTAGTAAATGACTAAAACCGCCTCTTGAATCTAAGGCTGGTGCTCTATCCACTGTGCTACCTAGCTGCCCCATATTCTTCTTAATGGAAAAAATAACACTGGCTCATATTTCTGTAGTTCTTTAAGGTTTACAAAGTGCTTTCTTTGGAACAAACCTGTTGGATATGTACGGGAGTAAAATTTTAAGCCAAGGATCTGTGAGGTTTTTTTCAGGTGGGAACTCCCTCCACCAAAGAGATAGCAAACTAAGCTACTAGAGAGTGCCTGCTAGTCAAAGAATTTAAGGGACCCACCCATAGTGAAACATTTTTTCTCCATTTCATGAATGAGGAAAATGAAGCAGAGAAAAGGTCAGTAACTTACTCAGAGTCACCCAGCTAGTAAAAGCTAGGAATCAAACCCAGGTCACCTAGTCCCAGGTACAGCTGTCTTTCTGCTGGTCCACAGAGTCTCATCCAATTCAGTCGTAACCCCTCCCTCTGCCTACGTCTTTCCAGACAGAAGAGTCTATAATTTTCAGGGATCGATTATCCTGTACATGATACATTGGATTCAATTCAACAAGCATTATTGAAGACCTGCTTCATGTACAGTGTTATAGCAGGATAGAGAAGTATATATAAGATATGACCTTTTGGTACCTACAATGTCATCAGGAAGATAAGATAAGAGACACAGGATACAACTAGGAGACAATGTAAGAAAATATAAAGTCAAATGCCAAAAATAATGATAGCTAATATTTCTACAGCACTTTACATTTTCCAAAACATTTGATGTATATCATCTCATTTAATCCTCACAACAACTCTGTGAAGTATTATTATTGTCTTCATTTATGATTATTCTCCATGAGGAAACTGGGGCAGACAGGTTAAGTGACCTACCCAGGGTCACACAGATAATAGGTGTCTGAGGCCGTAATTGAACTCAGGTCTTCCTGACTCCAGCTACTTGTTATTCCTCCTAGCTACCTGTAAAAAGTATGGGGTAAAAAATAAGTGCTAAAAAAGAAAATCATTATAGACCTGAGTGATCAGAGAAGGCTTCATTATGGAGGAGAGAGAGAATAGCAGACAGTGTCTTAGTTGGGGAGCAAATATGGCCTTGAACAAATATGACCTAGTACAATGAGAAACAAAAATCCTGATTCAAACACAGGACTCATGTTAGGGAGTTGTGTGAATTGAACTTGGGTAAGTAGAGTGGGATCAGATTAATCAGGACTTCATTTCTCTCCCTGTCTCACCTCAGCTTCCCCCACACATATCCTTCTTTTTTAAGGGGAAGGTATTATTTTGGCTCCTTTAGGATATTTCAAAGTTTATTGTGATATGAAACTCAAATTGGTCAGTCTTGATACTCATCAGTTTAAATTCAAAGTGAGATTTGAAACAAGAGTCTGAAAAGAAAAATCAATGTTATTTATAGAACTATGGAAGCAGAGTTGAGATGAGGTATTTGTGAACCTTAACTAAGGTTTGAAAACAAGGCTTCTCTTAATTTTGAAAATCTCAGTCTTCTCTGTGTTACTATCCAATAGATGCTTTGAAACTTCTTCACTCACACACACACACACACACACACAACACAACTATGAAGAATAGAATTTGTTGCCCCCTGAAAAAGTATTTTGTTATTCAGTTATTTTCCAGTCATGTCCCACTCTTTGGGACTCCATTTGGGGTTTTCTTAGCAAAGATACTGAAGTGGTTTGCCATTTCCTTTTCCGGCTCATTTTACAGATGAGGAAACTGAGGCAAATAGGGTGAGGTGACTTGCCCAGGGTCACACAGCTAGGAAGTTTCTGAGGCCAGATTTGAATTCAGGAAGATGAGTCTTCCTGACTCTAGGCCCAGTAAGCCACCTAGCTGCCTGAAAAAGTATATTAAAAGTAATATAAAAAGTGCCCCTCAATATTTTAAAAATATTTTGAAAGGTATCTCTCCTTCACTACCACCTTCTTTCATATTATGTCCTAGGCTACCTCTAACCCTGATCTAAACACAAGGACTCTCTTTTGTCTATAGTATTCTGTATTTCAGGTGGCTTCTATTTCAAATTATTTTGATTTTTATTCTGTTCCACCTCTAACAGTAATGATTTCAGTAATGTTGGGCAGGTGGACAGGGGCTGGATGACTCAAACTCCTTAAGCAGCTACCAACCAAAGATATCTTAAAATAAGAATCCCACTATTAAGAAAACATGCTATGACAAACAAGGGACCAAGTGGGGCAGCTTGCTTAGATGAGATGTAAAATCAAAAACAATTATGTAATGTAGAGATATGTAAAGTGTAGCTATAAACATTGGAGATAGAGCTGTTATTCTGTATGACTTTGTCCAAAAGGCATATACTATCTTAAGGCATCAGATAGAGTAGTCAGTGCTGGGCAACAAGTTTGTGATTTTGTCATGCCTGTAAAAGAGGAATTTTTTTTTCTCCTAGGGCAAAAGCAGTTGGTAGGGGATAAACTCAGTACTGTAAAGGCAGTCTGATCATACAAGGAGAGGCCCATTGCAGAGTCCAGCCTGCATCCTCATGGTGAGCAGGTGAGTCCCATAACCAAGAAATGATGCCTCATAATGGTTGTGGTTTGGTTTTATTTCTTGGCTTAAATTTAGGGTCATGGATAGTTAGAGTTGGAAGACAGCATGGAACAACTGGTCCAATATCTTCATTTTGAAGATAAGAAAACTGAGGCCTAGAGTTGTGAAATGACTTGCCTAAGGTCATGCAAGTAGGAATTGATGGAGCTGGAAACTGAACCTGAGTCATTTTGACTCAAAAACCAATGATTTTTCTACTATATGACACACTTACTTTTAGAGATACTCAGTACTGGTCAAACTCTATCCAGACTCAAAGGAAAAGTACACAACTTTTCTGATCTTTATACTGTTCCTTTTTTCTACCTTAAAAATTTCATGATGTCTCTCTGTCTCTGTCTCTCACATACCTATGTAGTAGTAGGTTTTTCTTTCAATCTTTTCTTAAAGTAGAAAGAGAAAAAGTTGTCTAGTTTTAAAAAAATGAAAGGTGAGGACATCGAGGTGCTTTTTTGAAGAGGCAGAGAGAATTTTCCTGGTAAAGAGAATTTGTTTTGTTCCTAACTAAGTTCAGAGCAAAGAAATAATTCTAGTAGAAAAAAGCTGGTCGGGAACCAGCTGTGCCAGCTTCTCCCTAAGGTGTGCAGAGACTCAGGAGAGGGGAAGAGCAAATAAGGCTAGACACTACCCCCAGTGGGAAAAAACAGGGTGGGGATGGGTGGAATATATCAGGAAAACAGGTCAGAGTGAGAGAAACCAAGAACAATGATAGGAAAGGAACCTTAAATCAATTGCTTCTTCATAAAAAGTTTGGAGACAACTTGATTACTGAGACACAAGAACTGGAGGGGCGAAGGGAAGGGTGACATAAAAGGTTGGGACTTGGAAAGGCTACCATAGAAGCTCTTAGCTCTCCAGGAACCAGTTTCCTCATACCTATATTCCAATACATTCACATAGGGGCCTTCAAAAGTCAGGTGGGGAAAAAACAAATGTGTCTGGGACCGGAAAGGAGATTCAGTGTTTCTTTTACCTGAATGCTGTGGGTAAAAAGCAATGTGGAGATGGGAGCTGGGAGGGGAGAAGAGAGGATTATTGGAAGGAAAGTGACCATTTCTGTCCTAACCCCGATCCCCCTGCCCCAACAGTGACTCTCCTCCCCATTCCAGTCTCACAGACTGAAGGAAGGATGGAGGAGAGGGGAGAAGCGGGATCTAAGGCGCAGCCCAGACTTCTCACCAGATCAATGGCCAGGACGTCCTTGAGGGCCACGACCCCTCGGATGGACTTGGGCGGGTTCTCGGTCAGGTAGATGAGCTTGTCGCTGAGCACCGCGTACTTGAAGGTCCTGTGCTCTGTGTTGGAGACCACGATGCAGAGCTCGTAGGCGCGGATGGCGTCGTACACCTCCTGCCGCAGGTGCCGCTTCAGGAAGGAGTCTAGACGGCTGTTCCTGCGGCAGGGGAACCCCACCTGACCAAAGCCAGCCATGCACAGCGCCGGGGCCGGAGACAGATGCCGGGCTTCGTCAGTGGCACAGAGCGCCCCTCGCTGGCACCGCACTAGGCTGGGAGTGCTGAGCGGACGGAGTCAGCCAGCGAGGAGGGCTCAGGGCCCCTCCGCGCCACACACTCACCTCACCTCGCCTGGTGCCAGTCGTCCCTCCCCCAGCCTTGGAACCTGTGGACGCCACAAAGCATCCTGGTCCGCCCCGTCTCAGTTGTGCCTCGACTCTGGCTTCTCTCCCCTGGGAAGGGACAGGGTCCGCCCGGGGATTGCTCCCTTTCCGCAAATCCTGGAAGGGAACGGGACTGTTGAGCTCCCAGCTATGAACCCACTTAGGTTTAGACCTAAGGAGTTTATTCCTTACCCCATCCTCTATTCGGGGTTTTAATCCACGCCCCAACTAAAAAGAAAAGGTGGGATATTATTCCTTTAATCAAAAGTCAAGGATGATGTGGGTCATAGATTTAGGGGGTAACACTAACCATCTTATTTTACAGGTGAAGAAACTGGGATCCAAGAAGGTAGTGACTCAAGATCACACTGGGATTAGACCCCTTCCTTGCATTTGAACCCACGTCCTTTTGACTTCAGAGCCAGGGCTTCTTCCGATCTACCACACTGCCTCCTTATGGGGGTGGGGGATGGGATAGTAGAATAACACTGAAGACAGATCTGGTCTTTGGTTTCCTAATTCCTTTCTGTAGTAACCACTGGCTAGCTAATGGGTGTTAGATAAATACTAGTTGGTTTCAGAAGTTGATAGGATTATAGATTTAGAGACTGAAGGAAGCTTTGAGGTTAATACAAGTTCCTCAGAGAAGTTAAGTAACTTGTCCAGAGTTAATACAAGTAGCAGGTGGCAGAATCAGGATTTGAATCCAGGTCCTCTGACTAAACTCAAAACTTTTCCTTCTGCATCATGTTGCCCATAACTGAGTGCCGAAAAGGCACTATTGAAGACATCATACAGACAAAATTGTTGGTTGTAATTGAGTCCTTCAAACCTGACCCCTACCACCTCAAAAGGATTTGAAGAATACTGTGGTAGAAACCTCTGCAAAAGAAGAAGGAGACTGTCTTTTGCCCTATTAACAAAGGATAACCAACCCACTGCCAATTCCACTATTGGCCCAGGGAAGGATGGTTTGTGACACAGCTTGTCAGGATATCTCGGGCTTTCTAAAGGTTGTTACAGTCTAAATGCTTACCACAATTGCAGGGGAATAACTTCCTAGAAGTAGAAATGAAAGAAGTATTCATTAGTATCCAGGATGTGGAAAAGCTTGTGTAGCTCCATGAATGTCAATGGAATTAAGAAATGTGTAGGAATCCCCCTCTACCCCAGACCATAAAAACAACCTCCAATCCACACACAATTTAGCATTTAATAAATGGTCTTATAATTCTCCAATTCTGCTTTAAGTTTTGTTTTCTAACAAGATTGCTCTAAGATTCTCTAATAAGATCTCCTTAAGAGGAAGGATCTTGTCTTCCTTCTTCCATCTCCCAATTCCTTTTCTCTTTTGCCCACCACAGCCTAGCTAACAGTTGTTCAATAAATGTTAGTTGGTTTCAGAAGCTGAAAACAATTGACTAACAGTAAGGCTCTGTTACAGATACTGTATATCTTGTGGTTATTGGTTGGGATTGAGCTCTTCAAATCTGACTTCAGCCATGTCAAAGGGATATGGAGGACACTGTGGAAGAAACTTCTGCAAAAGAAAAAAGGAAAAAATGCCTGGTTCTCATCAGAAACTAGCAAAGTTCTAAGGAGAAAGCTAGGGTATCAGATGGGAAATGTCTGAAGTATTTCTGCCTGAAAAGGCTGTATTACCATTGAGAAATGAGGTGCCACCTGCTGGTGAAACTTTTCAAGACCAAAATTATTATTTTTTTCATCCAGTAGTGAGTACTGGCACCTTGATGATTCCTGGTTCTTTGTAACTTCATATTTTGGGAGGAAAGGAGTGAAAAAGATCACGGTAAGGTTATTTCCTCTGGAAGAGAAAGTAGCATTTTTCATATATGCCACATAAAAACCAGCAGGTTAGCAGATATAAAGGACAAAAGAGATCTTAAAAAAAAAAAGACATGGCTCTTCCCTGGAACAACTTGTAGCTGATTTTGTGATGAGTAATAAAATGCTAGTTTTATTATTTTAAACACTTGATTATAGTCATATATATTATTCCACAGGGCAGAGGGCAGCAGCCTCCAACATGGATAGTGAGGTAATCCTTCATGATGCACCACTCTCAGGTAACTGCTTTGATTTTTTTCCCCAGAGTTTCCTGTGTAAAAAAGGAATAAAATGGCACAATTTTGGCCCCACATGATCGAGAACCTTTGTTTTTGTTCCTTTGGTTAAGAACTGAGTGTGAGGCTTCAGATCTTACATTAAAAACTAACCTAAGACTGTAAACCTAAGAGCTTCAAAAATAAAGCTACTAAGATGAAGATTTTTAAAAGATTTGGTATCTATGGCAACATATTTAATTTTTAACTTTGCTACACAATAAGAAGGCATTTGTGGTTTCCACAAACCATTGTATCCAATCACACCTTCTAAATTGTTGCTAAGGTGACAAGATGTGGGTTCCATTTTTGCTGGGTGGGTTTTATATTTTATCCATTATATTCATCCACAAAATATGAAACTATTCCTTTTTTTCCTAAGTCCAGTTAAGCATGCAAGTCAGGAATTTGGCCCAAGGTCCATTCATGAACTGCTGAGTGTGGTAATCCATGCACCTGGCACTTGTCTCTTCTGTCCTTGGACAATGACAAATTTGCTCATTGGTTTCTGTTCTACTCTTGTAATTTTATACTGCAGGCTCAAAGTGCTCAATACAAATGAATAGTATTTTTGCTTTCTTTTTTTTTAATAGTATTTTTAGTGGAAATGTGTGAGCTAGAGATAGTTACAAACACACTTATTGGGCTTACAAAATAAGTTAGAAAACCACTGGCCTAATAATATAATATACTTGTGTTCAGCACATAGAAAACTTTCTTTTTTTTCCCCCTCCTCCCCCATCCCTGCCAACTTTGAGATGGCTACCATTTTACAGACACACACACGCACACACATGCACGCACCTCAGTTCCTTCTCTGGATGCAAACAGCATCGCCATTTGCTTTTTTTTTGCCATTTGCTTTTGAAAAGCAAGGCCTTGCCTGTTGTGTGCTCCAATTGCTACTGAATTGATAATGCAACACCATAATGTCACTCTTCATCCAGGGATGTCCATTATGAGTTAGGTCATGCACCAATAGTGGGACGCTCTTATTGTTAAAAAGGAAATAGTACATTCAAGATTGAATTCACCTGGGTCCCTCAAATGCTAAAACCCATCACAAAAAAGTTGTTAGGCTGTCAGAAACTGAGGCTTCCACTCCTATCCTGATACCCTACCTTCTCTGTTAGCCCAGTGGGTCCCTGCCTATGAGTACTTGGTGATGCCATGTTGAACTGGGCATGGGAACATATGATTCCCTCACTAAGAATGATGTGGTTGTCTCTGCACAACTGGATTCCAGGCCAGTCAGAGAATCTGTCTATACATCATGATCGTTGACCTGCTCTCAAAAGGCAAATTGACTCCCAACTCTGGACTTAAGTGTGTCTTAATCATTTTGCCCCCTAACTGCCAGAATCGAGTGTCCTGCTTCTCAGAGGCCATGTCCAAGATGAAATGATGCCAGCCTAGGAAGGAGAAAGACACTCTACTGCAATGGTTTCTCGGATCTAGTTTTGGTTTGGTTTTGCTTTGTTTTTTGCTTTTTGGTGAGGCAGTTAAGTGACTTGCCCAGGATCACACAGCTAGTAAGTGTCAAGTATCTAAAGTCAAATTTGAACTCAGGTCCTCCTGGCTCTATCCACTGTGCCACCTAACTGCCCCTTGGATCCAGTCTCCAGGAACACTTACTCAGAATGGATGGACTGCTTTGGGCCATAGATCTAATTGATCCACTTCAGTTCCTTATTCCATCCCTGGTGAAGATCTCAGGCCCTGAAGTCCCTGACATTCAGAGGGTTCCATATGACCTGTTTGAATTCCCCTCAATAGACAGGTCTCCTTTTTCCTGAGATAGTTTGGGGACTCCCTCCCAAAAAGGGCTTTGGGGACCTAGGAATGATATTGTTGGGAGGTGCCTTTACTTTCTAAAGAAAAGGTGGGGATATAAAATTGTCTCTGTATAACTATGGTGAATAAGTGTTTACCTGGAATAAAGGGGATTCCCTAGCTGACTGGGGGTAATCCTTAGTTTCTGGATAAAGATGAGAAAGAGTTCCTGCCCAGCCCTCCTGGAAGAATCAGGAAGGCCCTCAGCAGAGGCCTCTAAGGGAGCAGAGATTTGGTATTACCCTCTGCCCTCAAGGAGTTTATATTCTAATGGAGACCACATATACAGAAATTGTTTCATACAAGATATATGTTATTGTTTGTCATTCGTTCTCAAAGATGACCATGACATCAGGGAGGTGATACCACGACATGCAAGAGAATCTGATTGGAGTGAAGGAGGGTTGTGCAAAATCACCAGCTTTCTCCTCTGGAACCATCTGGGTTCAGTGGCAAGATAGAGATCAGAATGATTAGAGATGGCCCTGGATGTAGTGGCAGACCTTGGCCCTTTTGAGCTAAGGTCTTTAACAGGTCTCAGGGCCCAAACAATGACAAAGTGGGGCTTGACTTGAGACCTATTTGTTGGCCAATCAATGAGAGCCAGAGTGATTAGGATTTAAGAGTTTAAGTCATGGTCCTTAAGAAAAAAAAATCTATCCACTAAAGGCTGAGATATCTTGTGAGGTTTCAGCAATCAAAATTGACATTCCTTTGGAAAAAGCCCCCCACACCCACACCCACCCCACCAGTCAGGGTATGATACCTTACGTAGACGGATACTTGCATAGTAGATGGAAAGTAGACAAAGAAGTCACTAGTAGCTGGGGGAACCCCCAGCTCCTGCAGAAGGGGACTGGGAGGTTATTCGGGGGAAACATTCAGGAAAGAAAGACAGGCAATAAAAAGTCATGGTGATAGAAAATGGAGAATTGCGTGCAAGGAAAGGCTAATAGGCCAGAATGGCTGGACTGTTGGAGGCAGTAGGTGGTTCAGCA